TGAACGTTTTTCTACCATGTGATCTGGGCCTAAATACGGTACGGCCTGATACATAAAGGTGGTTTAAAGGCGCCCAAGTCCTCCACATTCACATAGATGTCCCCTCTGGCCTCGTCGTCTGTCTTGGCTCTCTGGCACACAAGGTCATCCCCTAGCCAGTCACGACACTCCAATTAAGGCAACTGATGGACGCAGCTAATTGCTAGGATTTATAACCTCCTTTTATTATGCTTTATGAGGAAGGCAAGTGGAGGGCATTACCATTTATTGGCCCCAGGCTCTGTGCTGGATCACTGTCATCTGCTAGTGTCCAGCCTGACAACAGAACATCGAACAAGCGTGGGAAGCTGGAGCTGAGATGTGTAGGTGTCTATTCAGCACTTTCAGTTTGGGCTTTTAATGTGATGTTTTGGTAGAAACAAGAAGTACGTGAAAAGGCAGAAAGATTAAAATAGAGTTTGATAAGGGGAGTTCAAGACTGGGTGAAACAGAGAGAGGCTCCATGGAGCAGGCAGGAGGAGAAGGCAGGCAAGACTCCCATAATGAGTGTGTGGTTATTGATTGTATTGTAAGGGTGGCTGACCAGGGTCCCGTGTGCTATGGGGCCCAGTCCATCTGTGGACAATGCAGTCAGTTACACCTCACTGCTTCGTCTAATAAAGAACAGGCAGATTGATGTCACCAGTATGGTTGAACTCTACCTAACACTCACCAGCACCACACACACACGCGAAGCAGTACTGCAGCATGGTCATGAAATAGGAAAATAATTTTTATTTAATTTTCTGGCACAGAAATTATATAAACTGTGATTTGAGTTGATACATATCCAAATACATAACAGAGAGCTGCAACTAATGATTGTGGTCATTATGAATTAATATGTCAGCTATCTGACAATTTCCTTATTCATTGTTTAGTCCAGGAGTGTCAAACATAAGGCCCAGGGGCCAGAATTGGCCTGGCAAAGACTCCAGTCTGGTCCAGTGGACAGCTGATTGAGGTTATGAATGGATTTAGACTTGTAGCTGTAGCTTTGTAAGTTTTATAGATTTTTTTCTAATTGCAATTATTAATTTGCAGAAAGTTTATATTTCATAATTACAGGACATTTTGGTCAAGGGGGTGCTATAAGTTTAACACGTTTATCCTGTAGTTTCACTGGCCTGGCACACTTAAGAACAAAGTGGGCTGTGTGGGGCCCATAATGTAAAATGAGTTTGACATCCCTGGCTTAGTCTTTAAGATCTCATAAAACATTGAAATGGTCTGACCGTGGTTGAAAATGACATCCAAAAATAATTTAAAGTTTTCAAACAGGTTACTTCACTTCCGCTTTTATGAAACAGGAGCTATAGAAAATCATGCGATCAGTGTTTTTCATGTGAATTTCAACAAATATTCCCAGTAATTATTATACAGTATTTTTCTTAGTAAAAAGCAAAAAAAGAAGTATGCTCACCCAGTGTGGAAAAACTTAGCACACAGAATTCACTGCTTCCAGCGCTGACCAACATTTCCGTGCTGCTGGCATTCCCAGCTAATGGACTGGCAGCATATCAGGTCAGGACCCTTATATAAATGCTAGAACAATTGCAGCCCTAATGAAGTCCGTGTTCTGCTGGTTAAAGTTGCCTCTTTTAGAGGAAGTCAGCGCTTCCACCTGAACATCTGGCTGCGCTCGAGCCCGCGTAGCCTCGGTGGCAGAAGCACGAGCGATTACCCCTGCGCAGCCAGCCAAAACACAAAAATCAATAAACAATCTCAACGTTTCTGAGGGCCTTTCGTCTGACTTAATAAATGTCTCAATCCACTCTTATGACTTCATTTTGCTTTAACGTCTTCTTCATGTGCATCTTTTGCTGATCAATTAGAGAATGGAGTGCCCCTTCTGTCTTGACACCTGCCACCTGCCCTCCATTCAATGCTCCACACACACACACACACACACACACACACACACACACACACACACACACAC